CCCCAAAACCCCAAAACCCCAAAACCCCAAAACCCCAAGTTTAATAAGATTATTGCAAAATAAGAGATGGTACAAAGCAAGAAATCAATGTTCAATGGAGACCATTACAGACTTCTCTTGTTGTTGATCCTGTATACGGTGCAAGGCATCCCCATGGGGTTCTTGATGAGATCCATGCCCATTATGCTGAAGAAGTACTATTCATACTCAGATATTGGAGTTTTGGCAATGTGATCATATCCGTATAAATTCAAGTTCCTGATAGCTCCCATTGTCGATACAGTATATTGGAAGCGTTTAGGCAGAAGGAGGTCATGGATCATCCCAATTCAGTTGTTGGCGGGTATAATCATGTTTATTGTAGCAATGAATCTACAAACTCTGATCCAAGACTACTCTGTGCACATAGTTGCTCTTGCATTCACGGCAATTTTCTTTTGTCTAGCAGTCCAGGACATAGCAGTTGATGGGTGGGCAGTCACTATTGTCAAAGAGGAAAATCTCAATTATTCAGCAACAGTCCAGAATGTAGGGCTTTCATTAGGAATAGGCATCTCTACGACTATTTATCTTGCTCTGAACTCTTCTCATTTCTGTAATTCCTTTATCAGACCATGGTATGTAAATCCTTCTCTACTCGAATTAGAAGATAGTGTTTATTCTGAACCAATAATTAATGAAAAGACCTTTATGATCGGATGGGGAATTCTAACAATTTTCGCATCATTGTATGCCTTCCTGCTTCATAATGAGAAAGATGATAGGATCAAGTTCAAAGAAGAAGATACTCTAGGAGTTATAGACACCTTCAAGCTTGCTAAGAACCTTGTTTTCAATAGACATACCATGGTTTTGATATTTTTTTGGGTTGTTACAAAGTTATTCTCAAGATTCTCCTTAACTCAGGACTTGTATCTCCTCAATGAGAAGAAGTATGATCAAGGAAATTACTCGATTGCGACTGCTATTAAGTTCCCATGAGAGATTATGACTTCTCTGTTGATATCGAAGTACGCATTCTCTAATCCTTTCAGAACAAAATATATCTTCTTATTCGTGAGCATAGTTGTAAACCTGCTCTCAGTCAATGTGTTTTTGTACAACTATGATAGCTTAGTAGTCTATAGCCCTTATTTGGTAGACATTTGTGTAATCGTAATGGTTGTAGCTAATAATGTAGCTTCAACAGCTGAGTTCAACTGTGATATTGCTATTATGAATAAAATGTGTAATAAGGGAAATGGAGGAACTCATATAACTATATTTGCATCATTGATGAATGCTTCAGGCATTATTTCTGACCTTTACAGTTATAGAGTGGTGGACAATTTCGGAATGTTCATGCCTACATTCACAGGCAGCATCTTATCTGTACTAGTCCTGATCCTAGTTATCCCTATCCTAAAAATACTTGAAAAGACCAAAAGGGAGGACTTCTATCACCCTCTTGAGAAACAAAAGGTTGAATAAATCCTTAAAAATCGTTCAAATCTCTAATATACCTCTGGGGTTTTGGGGTTTTGGGGTTTTGGGGTTTTGGGG